ATCAACTCTGGTTCTTCGTTGATGATGATGGGACTACTTCAGCATTGTCAATTATGACCTCTTGGTGTGTTCTTATTTGGTGCATCTCGTGATGCCATTCTGCTGTTGGTTCGAGGTCAAGACTATCTGGACTCGTATGTATGATGCTGTTTGATTGCTGGAGTTCGCCACTACTCATCTTCCTTGCAATTTGGTATCGGAGCTGTGGTTCGATTGCGCTCATCTGGCGCTTGTCTTCTGCCTTATGCGGTACATACATGCGGTCTGCTGGGCGAGTTTGGCAGTAAGTGGTGTGTAGTGAGGAGGGTGGAGACGAGTGTGTGGCGACCCAGGAGGTGAGGGGAATCGCCAGGAAGGCTACGTGAGGTGAATGTGGTCTGGACAGTGTGATGAGAACTATCTAATGTGCGATTGATGCTGAGGTGGAATGGTGAATAATGCTGGTTGTGCCGATGCAGTGACTGGTCATCGCAATCGCCATTTGGTCATCTGGTGAGATTATCTCTGTGGTTGGGGGCAGCTAAATGAGGTACGTTGCTCTTAACYTTATCTTCCCTCTCCAACACTTCTTACCGTGAGGTTGTGTGTTCCTTYTTGAGAGTCCTCTCATCGTGAGGTGTCGAGTGCGCTCAACCTTGAGAGTCGGCAATGTTCTTGTGGAGCATCTGGGTGGAGATGGGCGAAGCTTTCTGAAGGGCCATGGACGAAGCACTGGGTCACGGTCACCATGCCAACCCACAGGGAGTAGAGCACGCATGCCTAAGCTCCTTGTCCTTTGTTCGGCTTGCTGCGCTGTTAGATGGGTACTACTGGGCAGGCCAGCCCTACAGGAAAGACGAGCACCCGACGTCTATAAATAAACACAGGAAGGGGAACCATTGACTGTGATCGTTGTCCGGCTGCGACGTAAAATAATTCCTGGAGTCACTTGGGGGCGGACGTTGAATTGCCCCTGGATCAGTCAATGGTTGGAAGGCACGCAGCACGCCGAGGATAAATATACGTGCAAGGCTGGCCGTCTCAGTGGATGCTCGGGGCACAGGGGTGGGCCGGACACACACCTTTAGACACGCATTGCCCTCCAGATTGCTCAGGGACGCTGACGTCAAGAGATACTCACGGGAATTAAGGGAAGGGTTGATTCCAGGTGACAAGTTCGAGAAAATTCCATGCTGTCCTATACACACAAGTGATTCTATTTTTATGTTTTGATTAGTTAGATGGACTGCCATTGACATCTGGCAGACAGCATTAGTTAGAACTGTTTATTGTTCCTGATGTTTCTGTTCGTGAACTAGTCATATTAAAAATAGTTTCAGTTGTAGGAATCTGACTTACCTGTTGACCTCAAGTGATATCTGCTCCGAAGTAGTCACCAATTAGTTAGTTGGTCCGTGCACTATGTTGTGGTAGACATCTTGAATGTTCTAGTGTAGACAGTGCACAGCGCTGTAGCCTATGAGCCACGAGGAGAACACCAGAGAGGACGACCAAGGACTTTGCGATCAGCTAGGGGCCCGGTAGCCCACGTGTCTTCAGGACCGGGGGGTGATAGACATCTGTTCCGCCAGCAGAGGGAGAGACAGCAGGCACAGAGGAGGGCTAGAGCAGCCGAGGCCAGCCGGACTTTAATTAGTGAGGCCGGTGCTACAGCAGCCATGGCTACTACAGCCATGTCCACTTCTGCGCAGCAGACTTCCCAAGCCAGTAGTTCAAGTGTCGTCGGGTCAACGGTCGCGCAGACCGTGAGTCAGTCCAGTGGCTTAATGGCAAGCCAGGCAGCGGTGTTGACTCTAGAGGATGTCGCCATCCAGCAGGCAGCCCTGCAGGAGGCACAGCTACATCGGGCATTAGGGGAGATAAAAGCGGAAAAAGAAAAGATGATCAGGAGAAGAGCCAGGATGCAGCGAAGAGAGGCAGACATAGAGGAGTTAGAAATGATGGACCTGACACATATGGATGATGATGTGAGGGTAGTTAGGAAGGCCCTGCTAGGGGTTATAGAAATGCAGGAGCACCAAACTACCATCCTTCAGGACATTCAACAGAGCCTGGCCGTTCTGTCAGGCCGTGCTCAGGCAACACCATCACCAGCCGGGCCTGGTGCCTGGCCCGTGCCATATCCTCCCTTCTCTGTCCCACCGGTGACTGGGGTATCCCCATATATAGCCCCGTCAACGGTTGCTATTGTTTCCATAGGCATGCCGCTGTCAGGAGGGGTAACAGCAGGGAGTAGTTTACAGGTTCCTGTACAGATAGTGTTTACTCCAAGTCCGTCACAGGTTGCGGTCACCACGCAGCCTGCTGTCTCGCAGCCAGTGCAGCCTCAGGGCACACAGCCCCAGCAGCTAGCACAGCAACCTGTTTCACCGGGTCCACAGCCTGGAATGATGCAAGGACCGGGACAGACACAGAGGGTTCCGAAGACGACCATCGCCGCTCCCAAAACTTTTACAGGGGACAAGAGAGGCGAGGACCTCGACACTTGGTTGAGGGCAGTGCCGGTCTACGTCAGGTGCAAACTCACCTTGCCGCACGAAGAAGTGCTTGTGGCTGCCTCCTACCTCGAGGGTAGTGCAGCGAGATGGTTGAGTGGTCTAGTGCAACTTCAAGGATATGGTCATGACTTCCGCGCTTGGGCAGCCTCCCAGAAATTGGAGGACTTCCTGAAGATGGTGGAAGAGAGGTGGCATGATCCTCAGGAGGCTCAAAGGGCCACTGACGCGATCCTGACACTGCACACGCGGCAGTTTAAGTCAGTAAGGGAAGCCACCGACGCTGTTGAGCCTTTGATCTGTGTCCCTGGGGTACACTATGATCCTCAGGCCCTGTTGACTTCGTACCTGAGATGTTTTTTTCAGCCTCTCAGGAACCAGTTGGCAAAAGAGGCCAACATCAATATGCACAACTTCCCTTCATTTAGCAAGGTGGCCCTAGACCTGGAAGCAAAGATAGGGCATGGACAGGCACCCACTACGGAGGGGAGAACGAAGATACTGCCTCCCAACTGGAAGGCGAAGGGTCACTTAATGTTTGTCGGCAACGATGGTTCGACCATCGAGTTGGACGGCAACCTCCAGGAGGGAGTAGGTTTACCAGTGAGTTGTGGAAGGCCGCTGCTGCAGAGCAGGGCACCCAGTTGCAAATGACTTCAGGGAATCACCCAGAGGCCAACGGCCAGGCTGAGCAACTGAACCGCGCTGTACAACACCTGTTGAGGCATTACATCAAGCCCAACCAGGTGGACTGGGATGAGAAGCTTGCTCTCATCGCCAGTCTGTATAACAATGCGGTACACAACGCCACTCAGGTGAGCCCAAACAGTCTGCTACTGACTTTTAAGCCTAGACTACCATTGCTTCCTGAGAATCAGTCAACTGCTGCACCCGGTACATTAGAGTTTGCTTACCGCTATGAACAGAAGATGCAGCAGGCGGTAGAACAGATGCAGAAGGCACAGGCCGCGATGATAGAGTCCGAAAACAGACACCGCCGACCTTCTACATTTCAGGTTGGGGATAGAGTCTGGGTTAAGTCTTCAGAACTGGGATAGGAGTACGGGATATCCCGCAAACTCATGCCTCAGTACTTTGGACCTTGGGAAGTCTTGGACATCATCGGGACAGATCCGGATGGTCCATCATATGTTATTCGGATTCCTGGTCATCTCCGTACTTACCCTGTCTTTCACGCCTCCAAGCTGACACCTTTCAAAGAGACTAACCAATTTCCATCTCGTCGCTCAATGCTGCCCCCAACCATGGACGGAGAGGTGGACATCGATGATATTGTGGATCACAAGAGCTGCCGGTATCAAGACCAGCAGGCAGGGGACGTCCTCCAAAACCGAAGCTGCAGTACCGCATTCGGTTCCGGCATCACACTGATCCAAAGGAGGACTGCTGGTTCTAAGAGGGAAGAGCTCATGCAGACCGCTCCTCAGGTTGTAACTCAATATGAGAGATCTCTGCAGAAAGGAAAGCGCTCTATGATCGAAGATTGAGCTTCTAAGAGGACTGTTGAAGCTAAGGAGAAGGGAATGCGAGGCCTCTGTCTCTAAGAGCCCCACAAGGCCCCTATTTTTGCAGCCCGTCGGCCGCCCTAAGTGAAGGCAGGCTCGACGAGGCCCTCAGGGCCCTTTTCTGGCCACCACGCAACTCAGGGAAATTCAGGCAGTTGCGCAGCGCCAGTTGGTTGAATGAACCCAGGCCCTGGGCCGCCTGTACAAATGTACGTGAAGCAGGCCTGGGGCTGGATATGGGTATCGGGCCAAACAAAGGCCGAAAGCAGTTGGGCACATGCAACCACTTCAGGCCCAAGGCCTGCTTTCCTCGTGACTGGGCCTCAGGCTACCGGGGCATACTGGAAGCTTCCGGGACTGGACGCAGGCAGGCCACTTCGATATAGGGAAGGGTCTGCCTCCTCATTCGGTGTTCGGGTGCTGGCTGCATGCTGCGCAAGCGCTGCTGCTGCGCTATTTGCTGGCTGGCGCCTACGCTCTCACGGGCGAGTAGGGAGGAGCACGCAGCCATAGCCTAGCTGCGCTGCTATATGCTGGGTGAAGCGCAGGGTGGTACTTGGGTGCTAGTGGCATCTGTGAGTTGGGGAACGAGGTTGTGAGTGTAGCGCGAGACATACCTGGTGCTGAAGCGGGTGACATTGGTCGCCATATGCTCGTACTTCGGGGACGTTGTTGATGTCATCTTTCTGCTTCGTAGTATAGGCTAGATAGGATCCGCCACATGTAGTCTGGGCGCCGAGCGCCAATAGGATATCAACTCTGGTTCTTCGTTGATGATGATGGGACTACTTCAGCATTGTCAATTATGACCTCTTGGTGTGTTCTTATTTGGTGCATCTCGTGATGCAATTCTGCTGTTGGTTCGAGGTCAAGACTATCTGGACTCATATGTATGATGCTGTTTGATTGCTGGAGTTCGCTACTACTCATCTTCCTTATTCATCTGTTCAGTCTGACCGTTGGTCTCTAGATGACGGCCAGATGACATTAACAACTTGGAGCCATAGACTCTCATCAACTTCTGCCAGTTCTGACTAGTGAACCGGGTGTCTCTATCACTGACTATGGACAATGGGACCCCGTGCTCACTGACCCAATGATCAAAAAACTTTTGAATCACTAACTCTGTACGTGCCTCAGAAGGCAAAGGAACAAAAACAACATATTTGCTAAATCAATCAACTACGACCATGACTTGGCTCTTACCGTGCCTACTCTTGACGCCAGCATCCATAAAGTCAATGGATACTGAATCTCCTGGCTGGTCGGGAATAGGCAAGGGTCTGAGAAGACCTAGCGGGGCACGCGTAGTAGTTTTATTCCTCTGACAAAATTTGTAATTGCGAACATACTTTGTGCAGTCATTCTTCATCCCTGGCCAGGTGTACGCGTGCATTAGGTTGGCTAAAATCTTTTGCCAACCGAAGTGTCCCTCTGTATTGTGACATTCTCTTAGGATCAAACTACGGATCTCTTCACTGTTGGGGACGCACAATCTGTCCACTACGTTAGTCTTCTCGAATAGCAGTCCATCAGTAGTGCGGTAATCTGGTTCGGCCTCCGGGGCTTCCTTGACCCTCTTGAGAAGGTCGCTATAGATAGGGTCTTGCGCATACGCGTCTCTAACTTTTTGCTGCAGGTCTCTCCCTATCTCCAGATAGTGAATTATTGCCCCAAAGTAGTCAGCTCTCCTACTCAGAGCATCTGCAACTACGTTATACTTCCCTTTGACTGGCTTGAGCTCGAAATCATACTGGTCTAACTCTGCGGCCCACCCAGTCAACTTAGGTGTCATCTTGGCCTGCGTCTTCAGCCACCTTAACGTCTCATGGTCTAAGTAGACTTTAAAGTGCCTCGCAAGCAAGTAGTGCTTCCAGTGTTCTAAAGCTTGCCTGAGAGCGTAGAGTTCCCACTCATAGGTAGATGTCGCTACCTTTTATGAAGGCATCCTAGCAGATATGAACTCTACGGGCCTATATCCATGGCCATCGTCTTGCTGTAACACAACACCTATACCATACTGGCTCGCATCAGTAGTGACGACGAAAGGTAAGGACGGATCGGCTGCCTTCAGGACCAGATACTCTATCAATGCCTGCTTTAACTTCTTCATGGAAGACGTGAAGTCCTTGTCCCACTTCCAGATCGCTTCTTTCTTCAACAACCTGCGAAGGGGTGCAGCGATGGTGGAGAAGTTCCTCACGAACTTCCTATAGTAGTTGGCTAGGCCTAGGAACGACCACAATTCTGTCAACGTGCGGGGTGTAGGCCAATCTCTAATCGCTGCAATCTTGCTGTCTTCGGGTTTGATACCGTCTCCGTCTAAGACATGGCCTAGATACAATACTTGGGTCTTCACCCACTTACACTTCTTCGCATTGATCTTGAAGTTAGCTTCTCTTAGTTTCTCCAAGACCTGCCTCGGATGACCCTGATGCTCTTGGAGGGGCTTACTAAATACTAGAATATCATCTAGGTAAACTACTACAAACCCATCTAACCACGGCCTGAACAAGTCGTTCATACAACGCTGAAAAGTCACTGGCGCGTTGGTTAGTCCAAAGGGCATCACTATAAACTCATAATGCCCATATCTAGTCCGGAAAGTTGTCTTGTACTCATCATCAGGGTGGACCTCTATCTGATGATATCCGGACTTCAAATCTATCTTTGAGAAATATCTGCACCCCTGCACTCGATCTAAGAGATCGTCTATCCTGGGTAGTGGCTCAGCATTCTTCACGGTGATTGCGTTCATGCCCCTATAGTCTATGCACATCCTAAGATCTCCCTTCTTCTTGGGGACAAATAGAAATGGTGCTCCAAAGGGAAACGAACTGGGCCTAATCCAACCCTTCTCTAGGAGCTCGTCTAATTGCTTGCGCAACTCCTCCAACTCCCGCGGGGACATCCTATACACTGCTCCTTTGAGAGTCCTACTCCCAGGCTCTATCTCGATACGATGCTGGATTGGCCGCGGTACTACTCCTGTCCGCGGCTTTGCTAAGTCTGTGAACTCTTCCAGCAGCTTGGCAATAGCAGGGTCCATAGGCTTCTCCTCCTTAGGCTGAGTCACTGGCCTAACATAGGCTACGAAAACCTGTTCCTCTAGCTGCTCCTTCTTCACTAATCTTGCAAACGCAGGAGTGCTAAGGCAGCAATGTGCCAGGGAGTTATCTACTCCTGACACGTGGAACAGACGGGCAGTCTTGACTCCGCCTGACGGGCTAGGGAGCCTACACTCATGCTCTCTCAAATGGAGTGTGGTCCCTGCTGCCTCTCCCCAGTCCATTCCTAGGACTATATCGAAGGGAAGGTTGTCTTCTACGAGGAGAGTCAGGGAATGAAGAACTTTCTCCACCTTCCCATCTTTCTCTAGGCGGAAGTACGCCTGGACTCCCTCTATGTAATCCTCTATTCGCATCGTGTGATTATCTGCGAGGATACTTACTACGGGTTCTGCTAGCTTTTGGACTTCTAATCCCAACTTCAACTTTTGCAGCGCCTTCCTACTAATATAGCTGCGAGTGGCCCCACTGTCTACGAGGGCCCCTACTCTGCCTCTAAAAATCTCTACATCTACCAACACTAACTGTCCTCTACTCTCCTTCTTCATCTTGGCCCAGGCGGGCATTCTCTCCTTCAGCTCATCGGCCACGCCTGTGAGGGAAGTACCTAAACAGACTCTGACACAAGCAGTCTTTGGACAGCTATTTAGGCACCGGCCTGCAACCTTTGCCACAGGCATATGTGGTGTGGGAGTTTCCTGCCGGCTCGCGCTCGTTTCCCCACATGGCCTTATGGTAGGGGCAGTTGCTACCCCTACCGGCGGCTGCCTTTTGACCCCTGAGCAGCCGATCGGACCTCCCTATACTTTGGACAAAATTTAATAATGTGGCCAGGGTCATCGCAATAAATGCACTGCCCCTGGTCCACACATTGTTGCCATACGCGCTGGTCCAGGCCCAAGTCTTCCCAGGGCCTGCCCTGAGGCAACCCTGGGTGCCATCCTCCTCTCCTGTAAGGTGACCTATTTCCCCTATTGGGTGACCGATTCCCTGGGCGTTTTTGCGGGGGACCTTGACCCCTGCCTCCCTCTTGGCGGTTTCCTATGCCGCCAACCCCCTGAACACCCTAGGTACGACCACCTGAGGCCCGACCCCCTTGGCCCTGGCCTCTACCTGCTCCTTGCGGCCTCCCTCCAGCCGCGACAGCAGCGTAAGTCCTCCCCTGGCTCACACCACTGTCGTCCTCCTCTAGCCCCCACTCAATCTGCTCGTAGCGGACTTCGTCGACACTACCCTCATCTAACGTAGTGCGACCCTTCCAATTTTTCACTTTCTCGAGGTCCTTGTGCCAAAAAGTGGAAACTGATATGGACCTCGCTTCAAATGGCACCACTTCCCTGCTCAATGCGTCATAGGTCATGGTGGGCTGCTGGCTCTTCTCGAAGAAGTGCCCGCGCAACAACTCGGGCATAGCCCGGTAGAAGAGGTTGACCAACTGAGTCTCTGTGACCCCATGGTCTGGAACAACTACCAATTCGTCCATCACACTTTTGAGTGCCTTCGCACTCTTCCACTGACGAGAATGGATAGTCTACAACCTATCGGAGGCTTTGACACTGCACGAAACGTCTGCAAATCGTTCGCGCAATAACTTAAGGAAGTCAACGAAGGGGGTGAAGGCAGAATAAGCAGCTACATCATCACTACAATTAGCGGCGCGGACCAGGGAACGGGCAAAACTGTCGGCTTCCTCCTTCAGACAGTGGATGGCTATTAGGACCTGCTCATCTGGGGAAACTTGCTGTAAATGCACGTACGTTTTGACTTTCGCTTCCCAATTGTCGAAGTTTTCTTCCTTTTTCCCGCTGTAGGAATCGGGAAATTTGACCTTGACAGGCTCCCTACGGGGACGTGCTTCCTCCCCTTTGGGAGCGGTCAGTCTGGCGCCCTCTATGGCGCCTGTGCAATATCGCTATGTGCCTTCTAGGCAGCCCCTCACTTCGGAGCCCACCTGTGTCGCCAATTCCCGTGCAAAGTCCTTGAGCCCCAATCGTATAGAACGCACGGCAATGTCCTGACTTCTACCAAATAAAAATTGTTATTCCTGGACTTGTGTCAGGCGCTCTATGTTCCTCACCATAATTTCCATCTTTCCCAATAAATCCACCTGCGTCGCCATTTGGTCCCTCTGCTTCTTTATCTCCTCCAATTCTTTCGCCGCCTGGCTTGCCGCTTCCATCCTTCTTTTCCTTTCCCTTGTCAGACGAAACTTCCACTCCATCCTTTTCTCATCTTCCAAAACCTGCCGCTTGCGTGGATCTTCTTCAGCATCCCACTCTTTCACGACCGCCTCCTGTTCTTCCCTGGGCACATACATTAAGGCCTCCTCATCTTCTCCCAGGGATAATCCAGCAACCCACTCTGTAATCTTCTTCTCCATTAGATCCTCTTTAGCACCACTGGATTCTCCTCTTCCTCCTGCCCTTCGCCTTTCCAGTGGCTGTTCGTCCTCCTCTTCCTCCTCTTCTACCGCCTTGAGCTTCTCTTCTTCTTCTCTCTTTAGCCTCTCCCTCTCTCTGGCAATCTCCTATTCAATCTTTCTCATTTTCGCCACCTGTTCCTCTATCAGCGCCTTCTTCTTGGCCTCCTTCTCTCTTCTCTCTTTTAGGATGGCTCGTTCCACTACGCATGTTAACCATGGTGATAGATGCACAACCAAGTGACAGTTCCGCTCCTCACCACTTAGACTCTCCCCCTGACTGACAATACCTACTGACTCGATCTATGGACCACAGGATCCGTATAGAACCCTGTCAACTATGGTCTCTAGCCTAGACTCTAATACTATAGCCATCACTACAGAACCTGTTGCTGACCAGGTGGCATTTAAGGAGATCCCCCGTAACTCCTCAGGAATTCTTTAATGTCGCAGACAGGACAACGCGGTCAGCAGGTTCTCTCAAGACTTAGACGGCCCGTTGTGCAGCCCACAGCTCGGATTTTGGGCCTACCGTGCCACACCGAGCAGCCTGCCGGTCAGTACCGGTCCTTGGGAGGGTTCGTGTCTTCCGGAACAGTCGAGTCGTCAGACACAATATTTAGCCCTACTCAATCCGTATGGGCTTGGTCAACGAGGCCCTATCCTTCATACACGGAGTCCTATCACCTCTACAGAAGAGACTCAATGCAGAAAGAAGACACAGACAGACTCAGACTCAACAAGTACCATAGGGTGAGTGCACATCCATAGGGCGAGGGGATAGGCTAAGGGCTTGGCGAGATTATACCAACTCCAGCTTGGTCAAAATCGTGGTCAACAGCTCCGGTCAACGCCTTGGTCAACACAGTCAAACCCCGGTCAACGCTCCGGTCAACCCTCCGGTCAACACCTGGGCAACCCTCTGGTCGGCTATGGCTGTCGGCACCTCCTTCCTCGCCAACCTCCTCTTCTCTTTCCTTTTCTTTCTTTTTCTCGCCCTTTCTCTTTCTCTCCCCTTTTCTTTTTTTGTGTTCACCCACTGCTATGTCTTCTCTTCCTCTCCGGTCTCTCCTTCCTCCTTCCTCTCTACTTCACCTTTGTCTCTCCTCCGTGTCCCGAGCTCCCGCTACTTCGTCTTGGACCGCACAACCAATCTTGTACCACTCAACTCTCTCTCTCCTCGGTGATGTCTTCAGCGCAGGTGCGTGATAAACCAATTCTTGTACCGCTCAGTTCTCTCTCTCTCTCTCTCTCTCTCTCTCTCTCTCTCTCTCTCTCTCTCTCTCTCTCGTCGTTGTCCTCTGTGCAGGTATGCGTTACCTTCCTCAGCAGCGCAGCTATGGTGGACTTCCTCTTCAGGATGGCGCACTCCACCTATGGCGCCCTATGGCGCGCGTCTCTCTCTTGCTACAACGGCGATGGCGCGTGAGATAGCGGGTACCAGCTCCGATACCAGTGCAATCAGACTCGCTTTCATTCCCACTTCACATGTATGCAAACCGGTTGTGCAGCAAACTGGCGTCAAGTGCCCACTCAGAACTCAGAGATATAGTACCAAGAACGCAGCTCGATACAAGTTCTCTTCAACCGGCTATGGCGGCACATCGCCTGTACCACTCTCTGTTCGTCACTCACACAACACTGCTGTTCACACCCTGGATCACCCTGGATATCCCACATGCAACACCCTGTACACTCTCACACCGCCCACACCTACAGCTATGGCGGCCATGGCCGCTGCTACTCTATCGCTATGGCTATCTTCCTTCTCGCCCACTTCGTCCTCGGGCTCACTGCAGACCACCTCGCACAAGTCGCTGTGACAGCGCTTCCGCATGGCTCATGCAGGAATCAATGAATGGCTGGACGCTGCCTCCTGGTTTATACTTCTGTAGCTCGCTGGTCTGGCCCTTTTCCCTCTGCCCATTGTGCACACAGTCCCGTACGGTACTTGCTGGATTGGACTGGGACTGACTTACCCCACCGCTGACTGCATGAGGTTGGACCGCAACCTCACTGCAGTTGCACTGCCAACACACTGAGGTTGGCTCCACTACTTGCCCGCTTGCCTCTGTCTAATGTGAGCCTACTCCGAAAGACCACTTCCGGAAGTCTGTAGACTTGGCCTTTCGGTACTGTAGCAGCTACGACCTTGACCTTTCAGGGCTGTAGCAGCTACGACCTTGACCCTTCGGACAGACTACAGCTACGACTTCTAGAACTCACTAGGACTCCTATCCGACAGGTCTACAGATCAGACCCCTACCCCAACACCGACCTACGACAGACAACAACAACTGTCAAAACACGGGTCACGGGTTCAAACACTCAGGGTCGACACAGATACTGTACACAGGTAAGGTGAGAACCAGGGATCGATCCCTGGGATCTGCACTCGCTACTGCTGACAGGTGAAAACCGTTTCAAGGGCCTCACTCTACTCATCAGCACTTGCACAAAAGGAAAACACATATGGCTTGTATGGTTCCAGTTTCTAGGACAAGATTCATTCTAGTTTTGCACACTTGGTGAGTAGTGGAGTGAAGCCCTGGAAATCGCATGCCGAGTAAATAAGTCCGTAACCCATAACTGCTGAAACACGGACCTGAATTCGAAGCTACACCATATATAGCTGGCCTGCTCCCTCCTTACTACATGCCCAGCACTTATCCTACTCCTGCTGATGAGATCCTTGCTAACTTTTGGCAGGGACCTTTTGAAGTACGGGCAGGGGTTTTTCTGAATAATGTGAAAGGGCTCTCTCTCTCTCTCTCTCTCTCTCTCTCTCTCTCTCTCTCTCTCTCTCTCTCTCTCTCTCTCTCTCTCTCTCCCCAGCGTGTATACACGCATCACGGCACCGCACTGTGCAGCGCACCTCATGTATGTGCCGCAAGTATGGGCTGTCACACACATGTAAAAGAACTGTCGTGGCATAGTGACACAAAGACTTCTTCTACTCAGCTCTGGACGTGATTCCTGTCAGATTCATCCAGGTTTGGCCGTAATTGCAGTCGGGTACATTTAGGAAAGTGCTAGTATGAGTATGCCCTCATCAGATAAACCGATCAAGTTTGAATCCCGATGGCATCAGATGGCAGAAAGAACGGAAAACAAAACAAAACACTGATCCGTAGTGAAATCAGCTCCGGTTGCATGTCCTTCTCATTTTGTAGCAGCTTCTGGGAGCTTGCAATCGGTTTATCGACAAGGGCATACTTGTAGCAAACAGAAAGATGGTTCTCTTTTCTTTTTTTCTCGGAGCTTCTGCCACCACTACCTCCGAGCCTCAGTTGACAAGGCGGAAAAGAACTGCGCATCAAGCTTTGCCTAACGCCAGCGCGATCCTTTTTTTTGCATTTTGGCTGGAACCGCCCGCCATTCGGGTTTGGTAGTCCCAAGCCTCCGAAGACCCGGAATGTTAAACTTTCCAATGTAGACAAAGCCTGGGAAAGGTAGTGCTGACCTCGATCACTCACCTATCAACTTGAGCAACTTCTTCCAAGAAGGAAGAGCGTCAGCCATTGTCAACGATCCTTCCTTCACTCCAAAGAGGCCTGTTGATTCATGGCCTAATGATCCTTGACCCTCACCATGAAGTGTGGGCGTACCTCTCACCCCTCCCACACCATGGTCGCACTCCCCTTCTGCCCTCTCCCTGGCCAACCGACGAAGTGCTTCAGACAATGGGCCCTTGCTTTGCAGATCCTCCATCACCTCACCGGCCGTGGTCCCAGCAGGAGAATCGAGCTCCAACAGTGGGGGAAGAGCCTTGACAAAATAGGAAAGCAAAGCCCGCAACTGGAAATAAACACGCACACACACACACACACACACACACACACACACACACACACACACACACACACACACACCGAGTTTGTCATGCCAATCATTAAGCATAAGACCGCAGGAATTAGCACTTTGAAGTTTGAACTTCTCAACTTTGGTGTGTTTAGGACATTTGACCTATTCTATTCATTTGCCCAACCCCGAGGGATCCATAGCGCCGACGTATTACACTCATCCACCACCAACAATGCAATGAACTTATTGACCGCATGTATCAGACAGAATATGTGTGTCTACATACCTCAAACATCTGTGCAATCAGACTCGCATACTCCTTCACTCCGCATGCATACAAACAGATGGTGAATCACACTGGCACAACACGCCCAACTCAAAGCTCGAAGATATGGAAACCAAGAACATAGTTCAGATGCATACTCGCTTCACAGGCTATGGTGCATCAGCACCTACACATCACAACTCTCGTCACTGTGTCTCACACCACTGTTCGCTTCACACCTCAACTCTGGATCACCCTGGATACCCCAAGCACACACACTGTACACATACACATACACACCTATTGCTAACCTACAGCAGCTATGGCCGCCAACTAACACCACTCTACAAGCAGCTATGGCTGCGCTAACTCCCCTCAGCCCACTTCGACTTCAGGATCCTCTGCAGACCACCTCACACAAGTCACTGTGGCAGCGCTTCGGCATGGCTTCCGCAGGAATGAATGAATGACTGGGCGCTGCCTCTTGATTTATACTTCTGCAGCTCGTTGGTCTGGCCCTTTCCCATGCCCATAGTGCACAGAGTCCCATGCGGTATTTGCCTGACTGTACCAAGACTGCCTAGGACTGGGACTGCTGACTCAGCACGGGTAGACTACACCACTTGCCTCACCACTTGCCCACTTGCCTCAGCCTAAACGTGGGGAACTTCGAAAGGCCACTACTCGGACCTTCCCGAAGGCCGTAGACTTGGCCTTTCGATACTGTAGCAGCCACGACCTTGACCTTTCTGGACTGTAGCGGCTACGACCTTGACCCTTCGGGAAGTCTTCAGCTACGACGTCTAGAACTCACTAGGACTCCTATCCGACAGGTCTACAGATCGAACCCCTAGCCCTACACCGACCTACGACAGAACAAAAAATGTCAAAACAGAGGTCACGGGTTCAAACACTCGGGGTCAACACAGATACTGTACACGGGTAAGGTGGGAACTAGGGATCGAGCCCTGGGATCTGCGCTCGCTACTGCTGACAGGTGAAAACTGTTTCACTCCCGCCGGCCTAAATTCGAGGTCCTCCGAGAATAATTCAGTCCAAGGCAGGACCTTTCCCTTTCTTATCTCTCTCATAGGCTCTAACTATGTCGGGAGCTGTCTCTAGAAGTTCGGTTCTTGTAAACCAGCGGTCGTCCTCTGGCTCCTGATAGGCAAATCGACCATATATTGTTTCTGTGGATGACCTCTACCTCCTGTCCTGAACACATCTTCACCTACGATGCCGTCAATGTCGTACCTGTCGTCCATATCCAGAGGGATCATGGACCTCCTCGATGGGAACTGATCACTCGAAGGGATCATGGACCTCCTCGATGGGAACTGATCACTTGATGGAACACTGGGTAGGTGTGGAGGTGCGCTGGGATTTCTACTGTGTAGGACGACCCATCCTCTCCACCCTTGACTTCTAGAACTGGCCACGGTCCTCTATACGCGGGCAGTAACTTTTGCGAGATGTTCTCCTCAGGAGCAAACTCTTTAGACTTGACCCAGACTAAGTCGCCTACTTGAAACTGTCACGGGCGACGGTGCTTATTAGCTTGCTCTATCATTCGATGTTGGGCCTTCCTGAGGTTCTCTATCACGGTAGCTAGCTCTTTTTCGTGCTGTAGTGCAAACTTCCTAGTACTGGGCGGTAGCCTCTGTATCTGATCCCGGTTGAGTCCTTCAAATGGTCTACGCGGTCTGAAAGACTTATGTAACTCGTTGGGAGTGCGACAGGTAGAGAAGTGCACGCTGTTGTTGTAGGCGCTGGCTTGGGAGCATCTCGTCCCAATTGACTTGATCAGGTCTAATATACATACGCAGAACTTGCTGCAGGACCTTATTCATATGTTCAGTCTGACCGTTGGTCTCTGGATGACGGCCAGATGATATTAACAACTTGGAGCCATAGACTCTCATCAACTTCTGCCAGTTCTGACTAGTGAACCGGGTGTCTCTATCACTAACTATGGACAATGGGACCCCGTGCTCACTGACCCAATGATCAAAAAACTTTTGAATCACTAACTCTGTACGTGCCTCAAAAGGCAAAGGAACAAAAACAACATATTTGCTAAATCAATCGACTACGACCATGACTTGGCTCTTACCGTGCCTACTCTTGACGCCAGCATCCATAAAGTCAATGGATACTGAATCTCCTGGCTGGTCAGGAATAGGCAAGGGTATGAGAAGACCTAGCGGGGCACGCGTAGTAGTCTTATTCCTCTGACAAAATTTGTAACTGCGAACATACTCTATGCAGTCATTCTTCATCCCTGGCCAGGTGTACGCGTGCATTAGGTTGGCTAAAATATTTTGCCAACCGAAGTGTCCCTCTGTATCGTGACATTCTCCTAGGATCAAACTACGGATCTCTTCACTGTTGGGGATGCACAACCTGTCTACTACGTTAGTCTTCTCGAATAGCAGTCCATCAGTAGTGCGGTAATCTGGCTCGGTCTCTGGGGCCTCCTTGACTTTCCTGAGGAGGTCGCTATAGATAGGGTCCTGCACATATGCCTCTTTCACTTTCTGCTGCAGGTCTCTCCCTATATCTAGATAATGGACTATAGCTCCAAAGTAGGCGGCTCTCCTACATAGAGCATCCGCAACTACGTTATATTTCCCTTTGACGGGCTTGAGCTCAAAATCATATTGGTCTAGTTTTGCGGCCCACCCAGTCAGCTTAGGTGTCATCTTGGCCTGAGTCTTCAACCACCTTAATGTCTCGTGGTTTGAATAGACTTTAAAGTGCCTCCCAAGCAAGTAGTGCTTCCAGTGCTCTAATGCTTGCCTGAGAGTGTAGAGTTCTCTCTCATAGGTAGATGTCGCAACCTTCTCTGAAGGCATTCTGGCAGACATGAACTCTACGGGCCTATACCCATTACCATCGTCTTGCTGTAACACAGCACCTATACCGTACTGGCTCGCGTCAGTAGTGACGACGAAAGGTAAGGACGGATCGGCTACTTTAAGGACTGCCTGCTTTAACTTTTTCATGGCAGACGTGCAGTCCTTGTCCCACTTCCAGATCGCTTCTTTCCTTAGCAACCTGCGAAGGGGCGCAGCGATGGTGGAGAAGTTGCGCACAAACTTCCTATAATAATTTGCTAGGCCTAAGAACGACCGCAATTCTGTCAATGTGCGGGGTGTAGGCCAATCTCTAATCGTTGCGATCTTGCTGTCTTTTTGCTTAATGCCATCTCTGTCTAAGACATGGCCTAGATACAAAACTTGGGTCTTGGCCCATTCGCACTTCTTTGCATTGATCTTGACGTTAGCCTCTCTGAGCTTCTCCAAGACCTGCCTCAGATGACCCTCATGCTCCTGGAGGGTCTTACTGAACACTAGAATATCATCTAAGTAAACTACTACAAACCTATCTAACCACGGCCTCAACAAGTCATTCATACAGCGCTGAAAAGTGGCTGGCGCGTTCGTTAGTCCAAAGGGCATAACTACAAACTCGTAGTGCCCATATCTAGTCCGGAATGCAGTCTTGTACTGATCATCAGGATAGACCTCTATCTGATGATATCCAGACTTTAGATCGATCTTCGAAAAACACTTGCACACCCGATCTAAAAGATCATCTATACAGGGCAGTGGCTCTACGTTCTTCACTGTAATCGCATTGAGACCCCTATAGTCTATTCACATTCTGAACTCTCCTTCCTTCTTGGGGACAAACAGCACAGGTGCTCCAAATGGAGACGAACTGGGCCTAATCCAACCCTTCTCTAGGAGCTCGTCTAATTGCTTGCGTAGCTCCTCCAACTCCCGCGGGGACATCCTATACACTGCTCCTTTAGGAGTTCTACTGCCAGGCTCTATCTCGATGCGATGTTGGATTGGCCGTGGTACTACTCCTATTGGCGGCTTGGCTAAGTCTGTCAACTCCTCCAGTAGCTTGGCAATAGCAGGGTCTATAGGTTTCTCTTCCTTAGGCTCAGTCAATGGCCTAACATAGGCTATAAAGACCTGTTCCTCTAGCTGCTCCTTCTTCACTAGTCTTGCGAACGCAAGAGCGCTAAGGCAGCAATGTGCCAGGGAGTTGCATACTCCTGACACATGAAACAGACGGGCAGTCTTGACTCCGCCTGACGGACTAGGGATCCTACACTCGTGCTCTCTCAAATGGAGTGTGGCCCCAACTGCCTCTCCCCAGTCCATCCCTAGGACTATATCAAAAGGAAGGCTGTCCTCTACGAGGAGAGTCAGGGAATGGAAAACTTTCTCCACTTTCCCATCTTTCTCTAGGCGAAAGTATGTCTGGACTCCCTCTACATAATCCTCTACTCGCATTGTGCGGTTGTCTGCGAGGATACTCACGGGGTCTACTAACTTTTGGACTTCCAGCCCCCGCTTCAACTCTGCAGCGCCTTTCTACTTGTGTAGCTGAGCGTGGCCCCACTATCTACTAGGGCCCCTACTCTACCTCTAAAAATTTCTACATCTACTAGAACTAGTTGTCCTCTACTCTCCTTCTTCATCTTGGCCCAGGCGGGCATTCTCTCCTTCAGCTCATCGGCCACGCTTGTGAGGGAAGTGCCTAGAGAGACCCTAGCACAAGCAGTCTTTGGACAGCTATTTCGGGACCGGCCTGCAACCTCTGCCATAGGCTCATGTGGTGTGGGATAGTCCAGCAACCCACTCTGTAATCTTCTTCTCCATTAGGTCCTCTTTAGTGCCACTGGGTTCTCCTCTTTCTCCTGCCCTTCGCCTTTCCAGTGGTGTTTCTTCCACCCCCTCCTCCTCTTCTACCGCCTTGAGCTTCTCTTCCTCTTCTTTCTTTAACCTCTCTCTCTCTCTCTGGCCATCTCCTCCTCAATCTTCTTTAACTTCGCCGCCTGTTCTTCTATCAAGGCCTTTTTCTTGGCCTCCTCCTTCTCTCCTCTCTCCTGTAAAATGGCGGCGGCCTTGGCTTCCTGCTCGGCCGTGTAGGGCGAGGTGCTCGTCCCCGTACGGGTGTCTACCCTACACGTAAACGCCAAAGGGTCCCCCAAAAGGAGAACCCCACGAGCAAGCCGTACATGGGGTAGTCGTCCATGGTGTTCAGGTGCACGACAAAGTTGTCCCACTCCTCACCACGTAGACCTACCCAGACAACTAACTGACTGACTCTCTATGAACCACAAAATCTTACCCTTCGTTCCAGCCAGATTACCACGGCCGACGAAAGCTTTCACAACCACAGTCCTTGCAATCCAGACCGAGATGCCCAGCACCTGCAGTCAAACCCACGTTTTCACTCCGGTTCAAACTCTGTCAACTAGGGGCACTAGCCTAAAAGTTATGGCGGACTTCTTCTTCAAGCGTCTCTCTCCTGCAACAACGGCGGTAGCGCATGGGGTAACGGGTACCAGCTCTGAAACCAGTGCAATCAGACTCGCATACTTCTTCACTCCGCATGCATACAAACAGATGGTGAATCACACTGGCGCAACGCGCCCAACTCAAAGCTCGAAGATATGGAAACCAAGAACATAGTTCAGATGCATACTCACTTCACAGGCTATGGTGCATCAGCACCTACACATCACAACTCTCGTCACTGTGTCTCACAACACTGTTCACTTCACACCTCAACTCTGGATCACCCTGGATACCCCAAGCACACACACTGTACACATACACATACACACCTATTGCTAACCTACAGCAGCTATGGCCGCCAACTAACACCACTCTACAAGCAGCTATGGCTGCGCTAACTCCCCTCAGCCCACTTCGACTTCAGGATCCTCTGCAGACCACCTCACACAAGTCACTGTGGCAGCGCTTCGGCATGGCTTCCGCAGGAATGAATGAATGACTGGGCGCTGCCTCTTGATTTATACTTCTGCAGCTCGTTGGTCTGGCCCTTTCCCATGCCCATAGTGCACAGAGTCCCATGCGGTATTTGCCTGACTGTACCAAGACTGCCTAGGACTGGGACTGCTGACTCAGCACGGGTAGACTACACCACTTGCCTCACCACTTGCCCACTTGCCTCAGCCTAAACGTGGGGAACTTCGAAAGGCCACTACTCGGACCTTCCGGAAGGCCGTAGACTTGGCCTTTCGATACTGTAGCGGCTACGACCTTGACCTTTCTGGACTGTAGCAGCTACGACCTTGACCCTTCGGGAAGTCTACAGCTACGACTTCTAGAACTCACTAGGACTCCTATCCGACAGGTCTACAGATCGAACCCCTAGCCCTACACCGACCTACGACAGACAACAACAACTGTCAAAACACAGGTCACCGGTTCAAACACTCGGGGTCAACACAGATACTGTACACGGGTAAGATGGGAACTAGGGATCGAGCCCTGGGATCTGCGCTCGCTACTGCTGACAGGTGAAAACCGTTTCATCTGAATTTCTGGGGGAAAAAACAAAACAAAAAACTCTGAAAGAAGAAAAAGCTGAAATGGTAAGGTAAGTGTTGAATCGATGCTTCTGCAAATGGCAAAAGCTGTGGGCGCAACCAACTAGCCAAGCTCAGTTCATACACCCCTGAGCTGTTGAAACACAGACCCGAGATCAACCCCAGATCAACCTGATGAACAGAATGGAGTCGTTCTGAAACACCTGGGGCCGGTCAGTTCAGTGATGATATCTGAAGGCCTTCGCCCTTTTCAAGAAAGGAAAAAAAATACTCGAAAGAAAGTTGTGGGCAGGCATTTTTCCCTTTCGTCACCAAATTGTGTGAAAGTATGACCATAAAGGTTCAACAACTGCACGCCAGACATCCCAAGCATGGGATGATGATATAGTCTGTGATGAATCGATGGGAGCTGTGCAGAGTGATCCTATCAACGAGCGATTAGTATTCGTGCGAGAATCCACGGTTTTGCGGGAACCCCCAAGTTGTACCACGAACGTAAATACTGTAGACCATGGCTACGCTGGACCTGGACCTGGAGATCGCCAGACCCGCGCCCGGACTTGAACATCACATGGCGTCCAACCGGACACACATCCATCTGGACCGTCCAGACTTCTGGACATGCTGAGGTCCAGACAGCCCGGACTGTCTGGAACGTCTGGAAATGTTCGGACTGCAAAGAAAAACCTGGAAAAAAAAAAAAAACAGGGCCCAGTGCCCAAGGCAGTACATGAAAAGATTCAAAAGTGACAACATTAAATCCAAAACACAGGGGCCTGTTGGCGAGAAGCGATTAATGGAAGCCCAAAATTGAGCGAAATTTTCACCGAAACTGCCATATTTCCCTGAATTTTTACTTCTTTTTTGTTGTTCTGATATGTATGTGCTTTAGGGTATATCTCATAGTTGCGGCGCATTGAGGTGCGCGCCTCAGTGCACGTCTGGCGCACCTTGCGCACCGCACCGCGCATCGCACCAAGTGTGGCGCAAAAAAAAAAAAAAAAAAAAAAAAAAGTCCGCCCAAAAAGAAAAAAAAGTGCAAGGACTCTCTCTCTCTCTCTCTCTCTCTCTCTCTCTCTCTCTCTCACACACACACACACACACCTTCAGAGACACGCCCGTCTGCACACTTCTGAATAATTCGAAACGTGGAACACTGATGATACTATGCACTGTCGGCAGTACCCATGAGCCTTATACGTCTACTTCCTCTAATTTGCTTTTCCTTGCTGTCAAAGGCATGAAGTGGTAGGAGACTCCAAGACATCCTGTGCTTGGCAGTTGGCTGAACGATATGCACATGTAACTCTTGACACAATTGAACAGATCATGAGCTCTCTCTCTCTCTCTCTCTCTCTCTCTCTCTCTCTCTCTCTCACACACACACACACACACACACACACACACACACACACACACGCACACACAC